CTTTTAAATCTTGTTTTTAAACTCTTGATATTCTAGATTCTGGTTGACTATTTGTCACCAATTTCCGTGATATTTAATGTTTTGTTGGGGGTTGCATGTTCTAAATATTGAGGGGGGTGTGACCCCTGTATTCCCCCTGAAATCTACACCTATGTCCCAGTTATGCATTTTTATTATGGTAAAAGACGTGTAGAAAGGGAAGATGATCACTAACTTATTTTTTTGTAGAACTCTACAAGAAAATTTGGAGTTTTAGTCCATGTGCTGTTCTTTTACAAATTCACTAATCTTACCTCTGCAGTGCTGTTTTTGGTGTCTTATAAGAGTGGTGGGCTGGGCAACTAAATAACTAACATGCAAGTCAGTATACATGTTTTTAAAAATCTCTTCATATGTTGGTTGTGTAAAAATAGGTGCAAGGTGCACCAGTGTGTGCCTTTTCTACATCCATTTTTGATGTAAATATAGTCATTTTATACTTAAATGTTTGAGGGGGATGTGTCCCCTGTGTCCTCCCCGAAATCTACACCCCTGTCCCAGTTATGTAGTTTTATTTTGGTAAAAGACATGTCTGAGATTGTTCTTTAGAAAGGGAAGTTGATCACTAACTTTTTTGTAGAACCTTGTAAGAAAAGTTGTTGTTTTAATCCATGTGCTGTTCTTTTACAAATCTCACCTCTGCAGTGCTATTTTGGTGTCCTATAAGTGCAACTAAATTACCAACATGCAAGTATACAAATTTTTAAAAAACGTTTCACATGTTGGTTGTGTAAAAAAAGTTCAAGGTTGGGTGCCTTTTCTGCATCGATTTCTGATGTAAATGTCTTTTCAGAATAAAAGTCCTCTGATACTTTTATGTTTTATCAGGGGCAACAAATGTTCTAAATGTTGAGTACCCACAGCTTATTTGTGGAGACTTTTCTCTGGAATGTTTGTCCCATGATGGTGGATACAGAGTATATTGTGATTATGCAGAGAGGAGCTGATTACATCCAAGTTTAACTTTGGTGGAAGACACTTTACACATTAACTAACATTTATTGTCACTGTCTGTTAATGTGTTGATTATTTTCTTGATTCATCAATTAGTTGTTTAATCTATAAAACATTAAGAAATGGTGAAAAATGTCAATCATGTTTACCAGAGTCAAAGATGGCGTCCTCAAAAGTTGTGTTTTGTCCACAATTCAAAGATATTTACTTAACTGTCATGGAGGAGAAAAGAAACCAGAAAATATTGCATTTATAAACGCCGTAATCAAATATTGAGGGGGATGTGTCCCCTGTTTCCCCCCGAAATCTACACCTATGTATGTCCCAGTTATGTAGTTTTATTTCAGTAAAAGACATGTCTGAGATGGATGGCAAAATTGTTCTTTAGAAAGTGAAGTTGATCAATAACTTATTTTTTGTCGACCTCTGTAAGAAAAGTTGGTGTTTTAGTCTAACTGTTGTTCTCTTTGTAATGTCAATGCAATGCTATTTTTGGTGTCTTATAAGGGCAGCAAAATAACTAACATGCAAATCAATATACATATTTTAAAACATTTTTCAACACCTAATATCCTGGATTGTCTTCTGTCTTTGTGTAAAAGACAGAAGTTGATCACTAACAACATAATGAGAAAGGTTGGCGTTTTAGTTCATGTTCTGTTCTCTTACAAATCTACAAATGTTTCCATTGCAATGCTATTTTTGCTGTCTTATAAGAGCTGTGAGCGGGGCAGCTGAATAACTAACACGCAAGTCAGCATAAATTTTTTTTAAATCTTTTAAACTATTCTGCACCAATGTGTGCCTTTCCTGCATCAGTTTCTTATGTTAATAAAAGTCCTTAATACTTTATGTTTTATTGGGGGCAACAAATGCACATGTTCTAAATATTGAGGGGGATGTGTCCCCTGTATCCCCCTGAAATCTACACCCATGTTCCAGTTATGTCGTTTTATTTTGGTAAAAGACATGTCTGAGGTTGTTCTTTAGAAAGGGAAGTTGATCGCTAACATTTTTTTTGTAGAACTTCAGAAAAGTTGGTGTTTTAGTCCATGCACTGTTCTTTTACAACTCTGCATATCTTACCTCTGCTATGCTATTTTTGATGTCCCAGAATGGCTGCAGACTGGGCAGCTAAATAATTAACATTTAAGTTAATATGCATATTTTTAAAAAATCTTTTCATATGTTGGTTATGTAAAAAAAAAAAAAGGCGTTCAGTGCACCATTTTGTGCCTTTTCTGCATCGATTTCTGATGTAGATGTCTCATCAAAATAAAAGTCCTCTGATACTTTGTTTAATAGGGGCAACAAATGTTCTAAATATTGAGGGGGATGTGTCCCCTGTGTCCCCCCCCGAAATTTACACCCATGTCCCAGTTATGTAGTTTTATTTTGGTAAAAGGCATGTCTGAGATTGTGCTTTAGAAAGGGAAGTTGATCACTAACTTTGTAAGAAAAGTTGGTGTTTTAGTCCGTGTGCTGTTCTTTTATAAATCTACAAATCTGACTTCTGCAGTGCTGTTTTTTGTGTCTTATAAGAGCTTCGGGCTGGGTGACTAAATAAATAACACGTTAGTCAGTATATATATATTTTGAAAAAAAAAAAAAAGGTGCCAGTTGCACCAATGTGTTTCTGCATCCATTTGCAAGTCCTCTGATTCTTAATGTTTTATTGGGGGCAACAAATGTGCATGTGCTAAATATTGAGGGGGATGCGCCCACTGTGTCCCCCCATAACCTACACCCATTTCTCAGTTATGTTGTTTGTTATGTTGTTATAGCTTGGTAAAAGACATGTCTAAAATGGATGACAGAATTGTGCTTTAGAAAGGAAAGCTGATCACTAACTTTGTCTGTAGAACTTTGTAAGAAAAGTTGGTGTTTAAGTCCATGTGCTGTTCTCTTATAAATGTCTCTGCAATGCTGTTTTTGGTGTCTTAAAAGGGCTGTAGGCAGGGCAACTAAATAACTAACATGCAAGTCTATATACATATTTTTAAATATTTTAAATTCTTTTAAACTACTGTACACTGATTTGTGCCTTTCCTGCATCAATTTCTGATATAAATAAAAGACCTTTGATACTTAATGTTTGACTGGGGGCTACAAATGCACATGTTCTAAATATTGAGGGGTGTGTGTCCCCTGTGTCCCCCCCGAAATCTACACCCCTGTCCCAGTTATGTAGTTTTAATTTGGTAAAAGACAAGTCTGAGATTGTTCTTTAGAAAGGGAAGTTGATCACTAACTTTTTTGTAGAACTTTGTAAAAAAAGTTGGTGTTTTAGTCCATGTGCTGTTCTTTTACAAATCTACAAATCTTACCTCTGCAGTGTTGTTTTGGTGTCTTACAAGGGCAACTAATTAACTAACTAACACGCCAATCAATATACATATTTCTTAAATATCTTCTCACATGTTGGTTCCAGTCCTATAACTCACAAAATACAAAAGACATCACACATGCATGTTTTTGCATGATAATGGGGGAATCTTTGCTGTTATAGTTGCTAATATCATGCTCTGTTCCTCCTGTCTCCCCCTCATGTTGTCTTTAGTCCTGCTGCTGTGACCACCCAATTACCCCCTCAGGAATCATTCAAATTTAATTGAATCCTATCTAATCTAATCTCAGAGTGTAATAGCTTTATGTAGCTCCACAAACCCCTTATGATACAGCCTTATCACCACCACAACACAGCACACACAGCAGCAATCCAGGCTGTTATTAACATATATTATATTTTTATCACGATCCCATAATTAGGGTGCATCCTGCTCGTGGTCGCGAGTCCGATTCCCCCTCGTCCCCTCTTCCACTGGAATGGCAGGGCAGAAATTAGTAGCCAGAAAGCATGTAATTGACAAAGTCACGTGTTCTCACTACGGGCACGGGCACAGCCAGCTCGCGAGCGAATGAGAGCTCAGGAGCGAGAGAGAGAGAGAGCGAGGGAGCGAGAGAGAAGGAGGCAGCGAGAGAGAGAGAGAGAGAGAGAGAGAGGAAGAGGGAGAGCAGTGCAGAGGTGGCGGCGGTGGTAGTGTGTGTGTGTGTGTGTGAGAGTGAGGAAGGGAATTGAAGGGAAGAAAGAGAGACATGACAAAAATATCAAAAGGCAGAAAGCACGCCGTACCATGCGAGCTAAATTGGTGACCGATGGGATCGAGGATGTCGGATTAATGGTGACTGCCGCAGCCCGTTTTCGCAGAGGAAGCTTCTCTATTGCAACTTGGGCGCAGAGGGTCCGCGGGGAAACATGGCCGAAGGTTATTCTGCAATTATTTTGTCTTATTTTCTGCCCTCTTTTTTTTGGTTTTTAGTTTCTCCCGGTGTGCTCGCGCAAGGACGGGAGGGGGGAGGCGGCGGCGGGGGCAAGGTGCAACGTGATTGTTGTTCCAAACCCTTACAAAAAAAAAAAAAAAAAAAAAAAAAACCCGACCTGAACCGCCCCTGCCGAGCCGAGCACCGTCTCTCACCATGTTGCGCTGCATTAACACACAGCCTGTGCATTGTTCCAGCCTATATGCTCCTCTGCTTCTCCTAAAGCTCGAGGAACCATGTGTACACCTGCCTGTTTTTTTTGTGTGTGTATGTGTGTGGGGATCCCGTAGCATGCAACTCCACACACTGCTGTGGATGCACGAGACAAAAAAAAAAAAAAAATCCACAAGTTGCACGAGTCCGAGCCGATCATGTGTCAGGCACTCACAAACAACTTTCCTTTTTTTTGTTTGAGGGAATGTTTGATGCACCACGCGCCCCTCCTGATGTCGAAAAAATACAAGTGTAGGAAATTTCTACCGGCCCTGAACTTCACATACAAGTGGAGGGGATTCCCCCACGCTTCTTGAAGAAGTTTTTTTTCCATGCACCCCCCCCCCCCTCCCCCCCCTCCTCTGAAATTAAACTTATATAAACCTTTTACGCACGCCATGCTTTTGCTGTATCTTCCCCCCACCAGTGTGTGAAGTAAGTTTGCTGCCTGTGTGTGTGTGTGTGTTTTGCAGGAGGGCCGGGTAAAGGTGGCGGAGAAGACCCCGCCAAGTCCACCGAGCAGGAGGACCGGACTCGACCTCAGATCCTGTCGGGATCGGGCTTCTGCAAATGGTTCAACGTCCGGATGGGCTTTGGATTTATCTCAATGACCAGCAGCGATGGGAGCCCCGTCGACCCCCCTCTGGATGTTTTCGTCCACCAAGTAAGTCCAAAAAAACACCCCACCTCAATGAAAACATCTGCAGCGTGTGGATGTGATTCCTCCTCCTGCTCTTTTTACTTTTATTTCCTTCCAACATTTCCACTGTCACCTCAAACCCCATCTTGCTCCCTGCACCCTCCCTCTTTTATTTCTCCTCCCAGCACCCTTGTATCATCCGGATGTTTTGCATTGCCCAACACGTTACTGTGTAATCACACGTTGTCCACGGGCTTGGAAAGGAAGAAAAAAAAACACGTTTAAGTTTCCTCTTTAGGAGCCACATGCGTCCTAGGCTGTCCCCTCCCTCGCTTCCCTCTGCACTGTAAAGGGAAGGGGAGAAATGTCGTGTGGCTGTGACACGGTTAGTTTCACACTTGGCTCTAATGGACAGCAGAAGCTGGCTTGATATGGGGCCAGCTAACATGTCGGAAAGCATGTTCTTTAACAGAGGAGAAAAGAAAGTGTGCACTCTCCTGCAGCTCTGGAAGCTTCCTCTGCTGCTGCTGCTGCTGTGTTCTGGATGGATCTGCAACACTCCCCCTTTTTCTTTTTACGCACTGTTTTGCACCGCATGTTGATTTATTGTGCATGGAGTTCATTTCTGGGGCTTTGTTTTCGACTTATTCTGCAGCCACACAAAGAGCCTCCAAGCTGCCTCCACGTTTTTTAATCGACCATCTTTCTGTTTTGTTTTTACGGTCCCTGTAAAGTGGCTTTTAAAATAGTGGAGAGGGAACGAGAGAGGATGAGGAAAGGCATTTTCACCATTTTCATTTGACACCCTCCCCTTGAGGTGTCTTTATTGTGGGCTCACGGGATGTTGTGCTGAACTGGTGGGAAGAAGGAGGGGGAGCATATCAGGGGTCAGATGTCAGCAGGGATGTAGTGGTGGATAAAAAAGGGTCCTCTGATCACTATAAGGGAAAGTAGGAGGATTAGGAAATGTAAATTATAGTGTCATGAAGGCATTGTTTTATTTCCTCATCTGCCTTTTCTTATGAAGTGGAATAACTTTAATTTTTATGATTTTTTTTTTTTGAAAAGTTGCTGGACTAAAATAGAAAGTGGGGCCTCTTCAGTTTGGCAAAAAAAAAGATTTAGTTAACCTATTTGTTGTGCCTCAGCTGCACACCAGAAATGAGGTCTTTAATACTGCTATATTTAACTTTCCTCCATGTTGCATTCACTTCCCTTTTTATTTTGTTATTTTTATATGTTTTATTTTTTAATCAATGACACATTATTGTCCTTGACCTGTCGTTTACTGCCTTCTGGTCATTATAAAAGCGCCATTTTTCCATGTAAAGTTATTTATTTAATTATATATAATGACAGTCAAGGCCATAGTGTTCATTTAAAAAAATTTTTTTTACACTTTTATTTAAGCAGGTAAATTGTGCTCAAGAGTGACCTGGCAAAGAGGGCAAGTTACAGCAAGGCAAACAGACACACACAACTGTCATATGCAACAAATAAATAAAAATTACAGCATGCAATTAACATGAAACACATGAAACAGAGAATTTAGGATCCTCTGCTTGAAAATTTGAAGCATCGAACACTTGATTTGCTTCATTTTGATGAATATTTATGCACTAATTGTGTTTTCTGCTTCAATTTATGCAGCAAATGTTTTAATTTTGTCACTAAAAGGTGACACAAATGCACATTTTTTTAAATAAGGAGCGCTACCCCCTGAAATGTACACCTGCCAGTACAAATCAATTTAGAGTTGAAAAAATTAGAATTTTCAAGTGAAGTTGTCGCTTAAAAAAAAAAATCCCATTTTTAGTGACACAATACATCGACCTCTGCTTCATCTTTCTCCCTGGATTATCATGTGTAGGCCTACGTCAAAAAAATGCACTTTAACAGCCTTTGTGTATGTGTGTGTATCCATTTTTTATATATGCATGCACCGCTGGACGTATATGAAAAGACGTAGAGGCTGAGGAAAGTGCATATTGCAGCGTTGCGTTATTATTTTTTTTCCCGATTGATTCTTTCATATTGTGGCTCCATCGACTCAGACGCGCTGCATTTACCTACATACTCCAGGCTCCTGATTTCCCTGCTGGCCAGAGACTTTTTAGAAGTGGATTAGGCCAGTGAGAGATGGAAGGTGTAGCAGAAGTCAAATAAACGCTGTCTGTCTCAGCAGTTTGTTACCTATAGGACGGCACTGGTGCCATATAGGTGTCTGCGGGATTACTCTCCAACTAGTGAGGTGGTAGTAAAGGTGTAGATATTAAAATGGCTGCAGCTATTAACTGTTTCTGCTCAGGGTGATGGCTTTCTGTAATTGCGTGCGTACATGTTGGGGAGAAAAAAAAATGCAAATTGTTCCACTAAATCCCTTTTTTATATGAATTAGCTCACATACAATGAATCATATGTTTACACTAGTACGTTTCCCTCCAGTGTTTCCAGCTACATGTTTACCATAATACAGCTGTCATTACACACAAAGAGCAGACAATATACATTCATAAGCACATTGTCATATTGGATGCAAAACACCCCATTCCTTCACAAGTTATTTGCATATACACACTCATTAAGTCAGTCACTCATTCTCTCTCTTGACTGTTTTGCCTCTCTGTTTCTCTGCTGTCAGCCTGGAGACATTTGGACATATTGATGCCGTCTCTCAGTGTTTGGGAAGTGTTCATTGAATTAAAAATGCTGCAGGTTGTCTTTTAGGTTGGTAATAAGCACGGGGAGTGTTTCTCTGAAATGTGTGACACGCGTAAAGAGCAGAGCTTTATTGTACACGCTGTTGAAAGAGAGAGTTTGCTTGACACAGAGGTCAGGCGGTGTATTCTGCATTTATGATACAAGGTTAATTGTCTCATACTGTAAAAAGAATAGTGGATGTGTTGCAGGTTTATTCCTGCACACTTCCCGTATATGTATAGGCTGAGGTAAGAACGATGGGGAGGGGAAGAGGGAGCATGAGGACAGGAGAAAGAGGGGGAGAGAGCGAGAGGAGGAGTTTTCCTAGGAGAGGGAAAGAGGAGGGATGTGGGAAAAAATAAGTGTTGGTGAGGGGTGGTGGTGGTGGTGAAGGGGGGGAAGGGTGGGCGGGTGGGGGGCGCTAGTGGTAGTCGAGGAGGAAAACATGAGCGAGAGGTTGGAAAAAGACGAGTGAGTGAAAGAGCAGGAGGTAAGGGAGAGGGGAGGGTGAGAGTGTGTGTGTGTGAGTCAGCGAGAGGGTCCCCGCCCGACCACGAGTTCTCTTCCTGGGAGGCCTCTTCATCAGGGCTCCTATCTGATCACTTCCTTTTAGAAGGTGTGTGTGAGAGCGAGTAATTAAGCTTCTTCACCCGTTTTTTTTTTTTTTTTTTTACCTCTGCGCGGCGATTTGGCACACAAAGCCGTTTCATTATCTCTGTTTGTCAACCCCTTCTCTACCTGGACTGAGTGTTTTTCTGTGTGGAAGTGTGTGTGGAAGTGTGTGTGTGTGTGTGAGTGTGTGTGTGCGAGTTCCTGCTGGGACATGGGGGGTGCTCTCTCCTCAGGCATTCTTTTAAAAAGAGGAATTTCTTTAAAGACAAAAAGGCAGGAGGGTTGGGTGGGGTGAGGGGGTGTGTGTGGCGGTGAGGTGGGAGGCTGCTTGCCCTTTGTCGGTAATCAGTTTGAAATGTTGAACAGTTTGCTGCTGCCGCTGCCGCTGCCGCTATTCTCCTGAAACCTCCAGAGTGTGTGTTCAATTTATGGAGCCCCCACGAGTGTGTGTGTGGCTCTTACTTTCTGCTCTTAACCACCAGGTTGTTGATGTCTACATGTGAACCGTTGTAGGATGTTTGAGGTTTTTCCGTGTGTGTGTGTGTGTGCGTGCGTGCGTGAGAGAGAGTGTGTGTGTTTTGTGTAGCGAGGTTAAAGTGGGCCCCTAGTGAGATTAACCTCTGGTCCGTGTCACCGTTTGGCATGCAGGCCCCACCCATCTCTGCCTCCAGATAGCCAGTATCAGGCTTTGTCTCTCCTGCAGCCACACTATCCCACCCCCCACCACCACCCACACCACCACCACCACCCCCACACAACCTCCTCCTCCTCCTCCTCCTCCTCCACCAACCCACCCTTCTCTTCTGCACATCAAAAAACGCAAAAGAAGAAGAAAGACTAGTCATGTGACTTCCTTTTGAGGAGCTGGCCACATACAGCGGAGATGATTGGTAATTGGAAAGGTGGCGGAGTAGAAAGCAGAGCAGGGCTAAAAACAAGTCGCAGTTCACCTGGAACACAAAGAGAGCGCCTGCAGAGTGTTGGCTGTGTTTGCACCCTCGTGCATTTATTTGTTTCATTTGATTTAAAGCATCTGAGCAGGCTGAAACATTTAGCAATTAAACTAAGGAAAAAGCCAAGGCAAACAGTGAAGTAGTTTTTTGAAAGAGGCTTTTTTTCCTTCACTTTTAAGTTCACGATTTTATTTGAAGAACAAATCGTCACATTTAAGATGAAGAAAAGGAACATTTTGGCTTCAAAAATACGCAAAACAATTAATTAATTACCAAAATAGGCGCAGATTAGTTTCCTATCAGTCGATTAACAAACTAATCATTTCAAAAATATCAAGAAAAAACATTTTAAAAGAATATTTAGAGTTAAGATTTGGGTGTTTGAAGCTGAAATCACCCACAGCCAATTTGTATTCATAAAGGTGTGGAAAAAAAAGATTAAAAAAATAACTTTTCTCAAATGCAAAACATGCTTGTCACAAAGCATAAGACTCAGACGATGAGAGATAATGTGTAAAAATGAGAACACTTAGTCGTGCTTTGATGATATTAATCTCTTCATATCAACACCATAAGAAAGCTAATCAGCTAATAAGCATCATCCCACTTCAGACATGCGTCTTGCTAACGCCTGCAGGTTGGATTCAGTGCCAAAATACACACAAGAAAGAAAAACAGCTGCTGGTTTCTGTCTTGCAAGTGTAGTGTGCTGCAACAAAATCAATTAAATAATGATTTTGATTTAGAGCATGTGCAGCA